TCATTTTTCTTTTTTCTTTTTCCTGTTCCTCTTTCTTGTTACAGTTCCCGTTTTTGAAGTTTGCTTCGCTGTGCCAGTGTTCTCTAGTGTGTTTGGAGTGTGGTTTTGCTGTGACCTACTCTCTCCTTAAAGCACTCTTTTTAGATAAAATATTTTTAATCTCTATCAGTCACTTGTCTTTACAGAGTCTGTACTTTAGCACTGTTCAAGATTCAAGGTTCAGTTTCTCCTGCTTTGGAAGCAAAGGTCCGTAAGCTGGATACTTAATGTTGACAAATTCTTCATCTGCTACTCTGTATTATTCTAGCTGAAGGATGAAGTGACAATGTTTCTATTGGTCTTACACTTTAAATAAATAGTAATCAAGCTGTTGAAGTTCTTTCTGTGAGGTAGCTTTAGTTTATTACATTTCCCTGAATTATCACATCCAAAAACGTGATCAACTTTGGGTGATAATTTTGTCTTTCGTGTTGCTAGTAATAAATACCTGATGGAGTTTTCTATATTTTTTCTTTGGTTTAGTGTTGGTTGTGCCATGTTAGAGACCTGCACTTCTCCTGACTGCTGTGGAGAGATACTAGCAAGAGAATTTGACAAGTGCAGGCAGAATATTTACCTTAGAGGTAAAAAATAATAATAAAAAAAGTAATCCAGGATTTACTTCCTGAGATATAGCTTTTAGAAATGAATTGAAGATGGGAAGCATTTCCTTTAGAATTCTATGTGTGGGTGGTGCTGAGATCTTCTAATAACGAGCAACCAGAAAAATTTTAATAACTTAATAGCACAGTAATACCTGTGTAATAGCTTTGACTGCCCAAAATGTGTATCTTGAATCAAATGCTAGTAATTTTTAATAGTTCCTTCTGATTAAGGCCATTTCCATTTAAGATGATAAGCCTCTTTGACGCTACTTGTTCTTACTTCGAACTGTGCATGTTTGGTAAGAATCCAGTGTTGCAGGTGTTTGTTTATATTCAGTATTTGTACAGATTTTCATGTATTTTCAATCTGCTTTTGTGCCCAGTAGAAAGTGTGTAAGTCTGTTTTATCTCTTTGTAAAAAAAGGTTTGAACAATTATGAACAGTGAGTTGATGAGAATAAGATTTTTCTAACCATTTTTGCAATAGTTAGATAACTACAATTAAAGCAGTTGATCAATTCTGTAGTAGGCTGTAACTTGCACTGCAACTTGCTTGATTATTTCGATGTAAATTGTGTCTGGAAGGATTTGTGATGCTGACATTTTAGCATCAATCATCAGCGGTGACTCGTGAGGAAGTAAATCTCATCATTCTCAGTTAATTCTCTAAGGCAAAATGATTGTGTCGCAATTACTCATTTCCCTGGTGTCCTCTATGGAAAAGGCTCCTTACTAAGTCCTTTTTTCCTGATTGCAGACTGTATTTTTCAATAGATCATAAAGGAGTTGCAGGTACAGTGCTACTGAGTTTGTTGAATATAAGTACAAGGCATAGAACTTCCTAAAATGCCTTTTCAGGAGGAGGTGGTTGTGCAGCCAGGCAAGGCACACACCACAGCTGTGATTCCCTGGAACCACTGGCTTGTTGATGAGAATGCAGTAATTATTTTGTTTATCATCTTTGTTAAGGCTTCAGAAGTCATAAAGTTGATGATAAATTATGAGCTTCACTGAAACAATTGTGTTTTTATAGGCAACTTAATTAGACATTTATACAGTGTGAATTAAAACTTTAGTTATGACCTGAAGGCCAGTATAGTAATTGAGTGTTGCAGAGAACCACAAAGTTAGCTCTTGCATGACTTGTGTCCAGGAATCCTAAAAGAATGGACATTCTTTGAATGAAGTAAAGCTTGGGGAAAAGAGAAGTCTTAGTGTCTGTTTTAGCACAGTTTGGAAGGAAGGTTGAGATATACGGTTCTCTTTATTGCTCTGCTAGCATGAAGGACTACCTAAAGTGTATTAGTCCTTTATGTGACTCCTGTTCATGGGCATGAATGTGTTCCAGCTTCACTACACACTGCCTCCTCAAAAGCAGGTTAGGTGTGGCTGCGGGTTGCAAAGCAAGGATCCTGTATGAACTTACACTGCTGGTCCCAATTGCCAGAAGACAGTTGAGCATGTGAACTCTGTACTGGCAGGCTTTAGGCCAGATCAGGTATCATCCCTCATCCCAGAGCTGTCACAAAAGAAACACAAAAGCTGTATTACCTGCTCTAGCAATTTTGACACAAAGGCAATAATCTGCCCACATCTGATACATACTAATTTTGCACGGCTCTGGTTTCCAGAAGAATATATATGTACTGCAGTCATCACCATAGCCAGAGTCCTGCACTGTATAGAGGCTGTGGCCAGTTGTGCCATAAGGATGCAGTGGCTCAGTTTACAACAGTTCATCGACTTAATCCAATCATTCTGTCCTACTGATCAAATCAGTCGGCTCCAGAAGCACGTGCTGGCAGGCTTACATGTACACCCCCAGGCTAATACAAAGGGAGTAAAATATTGCAGTTACAGTAAAGATGAACTTCAGGATGTATACGGTATCCTAGTGTAATTTTTATATGATGTTGTTTGAACTTAAATCACACTACTATGGTTGTGGTATTCTGAACATATGTGTGTTAAGCTGTTCTTAAAATTTACCTGCTGGTGCAATCTGCTGTGACCAATGAGCAAAACTCAAGTTAAGCCATACTCTTGTAAATGATGTATTTTCTAATACAATGTATAAATTGAAGATTTTAGTGCACATTCTGCAGACCTTCAGGTGTATTTTGACATCACCATTAAATTTCTTTTGAATAACTGTCTCCCCAAAACTCTTTTCTCCTTTTCCTTTAAGCAAAACTTGGCACTTAACTGTTTTCATGCATTGTATGCTGCTATATATGAGTTGCATTTTTTTAATGTTGAATGCATTTATTTTATTTTATAGTGAGAAGTATTTGAATACTGTTTATCATTGACCTCTGCAAGATTTTAATAATAGAGGACATAGTCATTCGTAAACGTTGCTGATTTGTTACGGATGATCATTTAGGTCCCATTTGTATATGGAACAGTTTCCAATTTAACCAAGGGTGACTGTTCACATATAGTACACACGTGTGCAAGACTTGCATATATTCTAGATTCAGTCTCTGAACTGGGGAAAGTCTAGAGTCATAGTTTGTCTCAATTGGAGAAAATCACTTGAGTATAGTAGCTGGTGCTGTGACCTCATCTCTACATATTCTGCTATGTGGCACTTCTGTTTTGGCCTAGATTTAGTGGAGCCTCTCAAGATCAAGTAGACATGCTACATTGTGTGTTGAAATTGTGCAGGGCTGTTATTTGCCTGGACCTGTGTGGCCCGTTAGGGATTGAAGCATGACTGATAACACCATTGCATTGGTACATTTCCATTTCTAGTTTATGTTTCTCCATAAAGAATCCTCACCACGTATACAAAGACTGGTCTGCAAACAAAACCATTGCACAGTAAGCGGAAATAGTGTGAAGCAGAGAAGGATTTGCTTTTAAGTTGTGCTACTGCTCTGAACCAAAGCATTAATGTAAACATAGCCTTGTTGCGTTAGTTGGAGACTTTCTTCTGTATTTAAAGACAACAGACAGAGTATGGAGTCAAATAGATGCTATTCTCTTAACTTATTATTAAGTTAATATAGCCTGAGATGAATATGAGGACAGAGGGGAACATGATTGTCCTTGTCTGTAAATTGGAGAGACATCAATTTGATGCATGGACCACTCGGTGGATAAAGAACTGCCTGGATGGCTGCACGCAAAGAGTTGTGGTCAATGGCTCAGTGTCTGGCTGGAGACCAGTAACGAGTGGTGTCCGTCAGGGATCAGTGTTGGGACCGGTCTTGTTCAATATCTTTGTAGCTGACATGGACAATGGGATTGAGCGCGCCCTCAGCAAGTTTGCCGATTACACCAAGCTGTGTGGTTCGGTTGATACGCTGGAGGGAAGGAATGCCATCCAGAGGGACCTTGACACGCTTGTGAGGTGGGCTGATGCCAACCTCATGAAGTTTAACCATGCCAAGTGCAAGGTCCTACACCTGGGTCGGAGCAATCCCAGACACAGCTACAGGTTGGGCAGAGAAGAAATTCAGAGCAGCCTGCGGAGAAGGACTTGGGGGTGCTGGTCGATGAGAAAATGAACATGATCCGGCTTCAGTGTGCACTTGCAGCCCAGAAAGCCAACCGTATCCTTGGCTGCATCAAAAGGAGTGTGACCAGCAGGTCAGATGAGGTGATCCTGCCCCTCTGCTCTGCCTTCGTGAGACCTCACTTGGAGTATTGTGTGCAGTTCTGGTCACCTCAACATAAAAAGGACATGGAACTGTTGGAACAAGTCCAGAGGAGGGCCATGAGGATGATCAGGGGACTGGAGCACCTCCCATATGAAGATAGGCTGAGAAAGTTGGGGCTCTTCAGCCTGGCGAAGAGAAGGCTGCATGGAGACCTCATAGCAGCCTTCCAGTATCTGAAGGGGGCATATAGGGATGCTGGGGAGGGACTCTTCCTTAGGGACTGTAGTGACAGGACAAGGGGCAATGGGTTAAAACTTAAACAGGGGAAGTTTAGATTGGATATAAGGAGGAAGTTCTTTACTGTAAGGGTGGTGAGGCACTGGAATAGGTTGCCCAGGGAAGTTGTGAATGCTCTATTCCTGGCGGTGTTAAAGGCCAGGTTGGACAGAGCCTTGGGTGATATGGCTTAGTGTGAGGTGTCCCGGCTCATGGCAGGGGGGTTGGAACTTGATGATCTTAAGGTCTTTTTCAACCCTAACTATTCTATGATTCTCTGATATGAATAGAAAATGGGTTTGTAATAAACAAGGCAGTGCTCATTGAATATTTACATGCTTACTTGTATGTTTATTTTTGCTCATTCTGTTTTTTGTTGCCCTCCCTCAAGAATTGTACTTTTAGTTTAATCTCTTGAAATCTGTTAAATGAAAGTATGATCTTTTTATATATGTAATGCATGCATATAGAGTTACACACAGAGAATATGCTTTTTATAGAGTTTAGAAACATGCCCAAATTACATTGCTTTAGACTGCAAACTACCTTTTGAATTTTATGCTTCCTTTTATTGACCTGAACTAAAGATCTTCCACTATCAATTAAGACAGCATGCCCTTTTTCTGACCACAGCATAATGAAGTGACTTGTGTGCCTGTCCTGCTCATAGGTGTTTGTTGTCCTCTGCTGAAAGTTGCAGTCCTTTTAGATGCGTCAGAAAATACTGCATACGCAGCTGCTCTCCAAACCAGTTATTTCAGGATGCTTACATTAGCTCAGGTATTCTTAATATCTAAACCAGGTCACTTTGACAGAACTACATTAGGGAATAATTAAAGAAGTGCTTACAGATGGGGAGGAGACAACTGTTGTCTCAGTAGAGGGCAAGGAGGAGCAGTTACAGTGCTGCCATTCTCACCTGATGTAGCTTTAGCTGAACAGCAGTTTGGCTTGTAACCTTATCTTGTTCTTGTCTGGTTCTTGAAAAAGTGTAAATGTGGCTAATAAAAGCAATTAAAATCCAAGTATCTGCTTCCTCAGGGAAAGAAAGCAAACATGAACCAGTTCTCACCACATTCATGGAAGGGAAATTTACTGTTTTACAGACAGGAAATCTCAGATATAATTATGGTATGTGGGATTATAATTTGGGCACTCCACTGTTGGATTGTACCTCTGAGCAGTGTGTTGTTTTTCTGTTAGTTTTTCTGTTGGCTGAGGTTTTGAATGTTATTGATCGCTACCCCATGTGGGGAAAGTGATAATTTAGCATGCTAAAATAAACTGGGAGATGTTATCTTTTGCCTGATAACTTTTGCTTGTACTTTTTTTATCTTTTCTTTTTATATAATTTTGCGTTCTATTTTGATTCTACTGCAATACTTGGAAACTAACCATTAGTGGCAAATCCTGACAGTGCAGGATCTTTTAATTTCTGAAAAGAAATATTACCCCATGGCACAAGGCACTGGACACTGTAGAAATGGGAGTTTACATGAACTTGTTACCAGCATTTCTGCCATGATTATGGCAAAGGATGCGGTCTTCCTCTTGTCCTGGTGCTTAGGGGCACTCTGCCAGTTTTTAACTCCGAACTATCTTGGCATAAAATCAGAAAAGCACCTGCTCAGCTCCAAAGTAACAGTAGTAGTGGAGGGGAAAGCAATACTACCCATGCAGATGTTACCTAGGTGTCCCAGCGTGTTAGCTGACTTTAGACTTTTTTTTCCCTATCAGTTAGATTCCCCTTTTGTGTGTGTGTGGTTGTTTTTTTTTTTTTGGTTGGTTGTTTTTTTAATATTTGGATGTAAGTTGTTAGTTCTTCTAACATAAGGCTGTGATGTGTCTTGCATTGTATTTCATGTTATGTCACACCACTGTACATCAAAGTAGATGTGGAAGACTTGGAAAAGCTTTCTTTTTTTTCAGTAGAAAAAGAGAAGTATAAGTTTGTAGTCACTGTTTTTGCAATTTAAGTTTAAATAAGCCACTAGTTCAGGATGGATATTCCGATTCCTGTTCTACTCAAACCTTGTGTGCATCATGGAAGCATTCCAGTTTCCTCTTCCCAGCTCTGGATGAGAACCACTTATGTTAGCTGTCATCATCAGCAAAAGTATTGAGGCAGAATATTCCTAAGCAGTTTTTCAAGTGGTCCTACGGGAGTTAGACTAATCAAGCTGAGGCAATCCAAAAAGTCTCTCACTAAAGCTCTAAAGCCACAGGATAAATTGTGTATCACAGGTTAATTGCTGTAATTTTTGTGTTGTAAATAAAATAGAAATAAGTTGTCTTCAAGAAGAATTAATGGGTTAGGAAAAATACCTCCTTTTGTTCAAAAGAAGCAATGTCAAAGTAGGTTTTGTTGCAGGCTTGGACAATACAGCTAAATATAATGATTTTCTTTATGCATTTCTGTTTACTCTATAAATCATGGGGTTGGGAATGGATTTTTGCATCTCCTGTTCTAGAGTTCATCTGTTATCTCTGCAAGGTACCTGTTTTTTTGGGGTGAGAGGGATGGCTTCGTACTTGAAAAGGGCATGTCGTTTATGGGTGGCCTTTCAGTATTGAAAGACATTAGCAGAACTTTGTGCCTAGTAATCAATGCTGTTTCTTACAAGGATTTCCTGCTAGAAAATTAAACTGCCTTTCTAGTGGTAGAGATCTTTCTATGAGAATCATGGGTTTAAAATCTAATTTAGAAGGTTGAGAGGGGATGACCAAGGCTATAGTAGTAATTGGGGTGTTGTTTTTTGTTTGTTGTTTTTTTTTTTTGACAGTATATCAAGTTTGATTCATTGGTTTGTTTGTAAGTTTGAATTTAACATTTCTGGCCTAATACTTGAAGGTCTTCTTACGCAGTGTCTACTGAAAAAAAAAAGAATGCGTATTTCTCTGTAATCACTTTATTATTAGGGGTAGCATTTTTGTTAAGATGCTCTTAAGTAACAATTCATGGAAAGAACAATAATTTCATTTTCCTAGCTGCATGTTTTTTTAAGTCCAGTGACTTTACTAAGAAGTGAAATAACCAGAATAAAAATGGTTATTTACATGTTTTAACATTTTAAATAATATTCGGACAATTTGTATTACATTATAATACATGTAAAATGTATTGAATTGTAAAACTGAGTAACAAGGTGAAGGTGGAGCTAGTTTGTGTTTGTTTTATTTGTGTGTTGCTCTTTTGGTTGGGTTTTTTAAGACCTGTTCAAAGAGTGCTATGCAACATGCTAATGATAGGACAGCATAGTACAACACCTGCAGGGTATCACATGAATTTGTAGGATGTGTAATTATTATAATCTCAGCAGCAATATAATAGTAATCATTTAAACTCACTGTAGAAAACCAGGCAGTACATTATGATAACATGTCACATATAAGACTAAGGTGTACTCCTAAGAGAATCTGCTGTTAACAGTCACATGATTTGGTAATGAATCATATTCCATATGTGTATACCATATATATGTATACCATACATACTCCTATTTTCCACCCTTCCAAACATTTCTGTAGATGCTCAATTTGGTGAGTGCCACTCCAGTAAATGTTACTGGTCTTCAGAGGTTCTTCTAAGTATGTGTGGTTCTGGCTTACATGTGTGATCTTTGTTGATCAGGGGCTAGGAGTTAAATTAATAAGTGAAATAAGTGATAGTCCTATCCCCCCCCCTTGCCTTTTTAATAATCAAAAGGGAAAATGGAGATGGGGAAGAAAGCTGTATTGGTCCCTTAGCTGAAATTAAATGGGCTGGAGGATTTACCAGAAGGATCAACTTGAGTAGGAGATATTAAATGAGAAGGGGAAATCTTGAAACTAGCTTTGCACTTGCATCTCTTTTCTGTAAAAGAATACCCTTTCTCCAGGAGTAGCAAGATTGGCATGAGTTTGGGGACAAGGCATGAGCCTCTGTCCCTGCAGCTGCTGCTGTCTGCCCTGTGGGCTTTGCCCCGCAGTGCCTGAATTCCTCTAACCTGTGGGTCCCACGTGCAGGTGTAGCATGTGCATGCTTAATACTTATGACATAAATACCATCCCTATTTGCAGACAAGTGAGGCATGGTAATTTGTTCAAGTACGTGTATCAAAGACTGGCCAAAACAAGTTCTCTGTTTTCATGACAGGAGCAGCCTCAGAAAAAAAACAATTGTCCCAGTTTCTGAGCTGTACCGTATTGTCCCTGTTAGTGGAAGGATAGCTCATTGTGAGTAAGGGATACTTTCATGTGCCTTACGCTAAGCAAGCAAAGTATTCAAACAATATCAAATTGATAAGTTTTATAAGGTAAACACACTGTGTTTATACAGCATATTTAAACATGATCTCTATATTCAGGGAGGGAAATCCTATCCACATTGAAGTCGGTGTCAAAACTTTGCTGGGGCCAGTGCTGCTTCTTGACTGTAATGACTCATATTCAGATACTTGTGCATGCAAAATACTTAGTAAAGAACAATTTTGGTGTTTTAGAACATCTTTTATGAGGTGGAAGTAACAATCAGAAGTTTAAAGAGAGGAATTTCTTGTCAGCAGTGAAAGTCTGTAAGCTATAGATCTCCAATACAGAATTACAGAACTATAAGAAATCTTTAAATCTGTTTCGACTTAAGAAATTATTGGCATGCAAGTTACTTATATATGTCCCTGTCTAATGTTTAATTTTCCTTTTTTAACAGGTAGAGAGAATTGTTGACAAAAGGAAAAACAAGAAGGGAAAAACAGAGTATTTAGTGCGGTGGAAAGGATACGACAGTGAAGATGATACTTGGGAGCCAGAGCAGCACCTTGTTAATTGTGAGGAATATATACATGAATTTAACAGACGCCACAATGAAAAGCAGAAAGAAAGCACATTAACCAGGACAAACAGGACCTCTCCAAATAACGCCAGAAAACAAATCTCTAGATCTACCAATAGTTCTTTTTCAAAGACATCTACTAAATCTTTAGTTATGGGTAAAGACCATGAGTCAAAAAATAATCAACTCTTTTCTGCCACCCAGAAGTTCCGGAAAAACAGTTCACCATCTCTTTCTGGAAGGAAAAATATGGACCTCGCAAAATCAGGTATTAAAATCCTAGTGCCCAAAAGTCCAATGAAGAGCCGGACAACAGTTGATGGCTTCCAGAATGAAAGCCCGGATAAAATGGACCATATAGAACAGGATCAAGAAGACTCTGTAGCACCAGAAGTAGCCGCAGAAAAACCAGTGGGAGCTTTATTAGGACCTGGTGCAGAGCGTGCTAGAATGGGCAGCCGACCAAGGATACATCCATTAGTGCCACAATTGCCAGTGCCAGTAACAGCCACAATTGCATCAGCATTAACAATAAATGGAAAAGGTATGTGTATGGGTCAGTCATTTTTGTGTAGATTTTTCATTTTACTGATTCTTTTTGCTGTTCAGATTCAAATGAATTACCACTCTGTTTCAGCCATGTTAAACCAAGTCTGAAGGACTTCACAACTTTATTTTACATAGCTATATGACTACAAAGCCATTTTGAATTTTGCCAGCTTTTGTTTTCCTCGCAGAGATCCATTGGTACTTGTGTTTTCAGAATCACCATGAGACACATCTGTGTTTGCCTTGACATTGTCTGGTACACATAATCAGTGTACCATTTCCAGAGATTACCTCATTGCTTTATTTAAATAGGTCATATTTGGTATAAATATTAGAAGCATAAATTATGGGAATAGATCATAGAATCATCTAATGATTTGGGCTGGAAGGGACCTTAAAGATCAGCTAGTTCTAACCCCCCTGCCATGGGCAGGGACACCTTCCACTAGACTAGGCTGATCCAAGCCCCATCCAGCCTGACCTTCAGAACTTCCAGGGATGGGGCATCCACAACTTCTCTGGGGAGCCTGTTCCTGTGTCTCATCAGCTTCATAGTGAAGAATTTTTTTCCCAATATCTAATCTAAATCACCCTTCTGTCAGCTTGAATCCATTCTCCCTTGTTCTATCCCTACATGCCTTTGTAAAAAGTCCCTTCTTGTAGGCCTTCTTTAGGTACTGGAAGGCTGCTATAAGGTCTGCCTTCTCCAGGCTGAACGATCCCAGCTCTCTCAGCCCATTTCCATAGGAGAGGTGCTTGAGTCCTCTGATCATCTGTTCATGTGTTTTAAATTTTGTGATACCAGTGAAACCCAAACTACTTTGGTGTGAAGAAGCTGTTTGTTCCTTTCACCCAGGTGAGACCCTCATTTAAGACGTCATGATCCTCATTCTTGTGCCCCAAACCTTGGCTCTTCCCTGACAGACCCAGGTTGTTGTGTAGTCACAGGTGTTCTTGTAAGTGTGCTTTTGAGTCTCAATTTTGAAGTGTAATTCTGTGTCCTTAAATAAATAAAATGCAGCGGGTAGAATCTGCAGGTATGCTATTGATGATGACTTGCTGGAAAAATTGCTTGAAAACCAAGGACAGGGCTTGCCAAAAAACGTGCTTACAGGCAAACTAGTTTGTGTTGGGTGCCCCACTGTTGCATTCAGATTTTCCAAGAAAACAGCTGGGGAAAAGCAGTGGATGAGGGAGGAATATGCTCTTGGAGCTGCAGTGTCAGGTCATGGACCAACCCATGTTGCTGCAGATGAACTAGGTAACCATGGTAATGCACACACAGATGCCAGGAATATCTCTTCCTTTGCATGGGCTAAAGAAGGAATGTAAATCTTAGAGGATGCAAACAAAGCTGGAGGGGAAAATGCAAGAAATGCCAGTACAAGAGTTTTCTGAGTAGGTGAGGTAGAGGAGTGTGTGTGCAAGCATGATAGTTTTGTGATAATCAATATGCGTTTTGGAGTATGGTGTTGTTCCTAGTCAAGTGATTGATAAGCTTTGCTTTTGCCTCATGGCGTTCAGAAAAGGAAAGGTACACAAAAGGCCTTTTTGGGGTAGATGAGTAACCACAAAAGAGTAAGTCATTCCCACCAATTTTTTGCTCAGATAATAGTGGTACAGTGAGGGCCCAGTTATAGGTCATCAAGTGGAAGTGGAAAGACCTGCACAGGAACAGAGGTGACACATAAAATGCTACCTAAGGTTCATTTATCCATTTCACTGATATGTTACAATTTCCTCAATTGCCACCACCTCCTTCAGCTCTTCTTAGGCATTTGTCTGGGCAACCACCAATGAAAGCTATCAATTGATCCTAAGGATGATGGCAATATGAGTTTTTTCTCATATGTTTTCATGAGATCTTGAGGTGTAGATCAAAGAAGGAGAGCCACTGAGATAGTCACGATATGCAGATGCCCAAAAATTCAGAATAAGTTTCCACCTTCTTTCTGCTGCTGGAGGCATATATTAGTACAAGCACATTAACTGAGGCTTTCCCTCTTTGTCCTGATATGCTGTCACTAGTCCTCAATCTGAGCACTTCAGTGCACTGGGAGACAGAAGCTAAATACCCAAATGTACTACAACTTTACAGGCAGTTATGCTTATCTGCAACACTTTTGGGGGTAACATCCAAATCGTGCAGTAATTTTCAGATTATGAAATTTAGAAACAAAGTAAAAACAAATGAACAAACAAAAAAACCTTTACATTTATATTGGACATCAGTCTTTTTTTACTAGCTTTTAGGATTTCTTGGACAGATACCTTTTTCACAGAAGCCCAGGCTCCAATTCAACTGTTCTGCATGGCCAGAGTGGATATTTAGAGAAAAGCCAAGAGAGGCAGCCCTGACTCCTACAGCTAGCTTGGCCTTGGAGCTTCCTGGGCTGATCCATTCTCTATCTCTTCATTAAAGCTGTGCTCTTCTTGCTGGTTTTATTTTTAACTTCACACTGCTATTCATTAAAAATGTAGCAAATCAATGCTTCGTTCCCTCCTCTGCATGGGGCTGTCACAGTGCAGGATTCCGTTTCATTCCTTGCTTAAGACATTCCTTCTCTCTTAAATGGACACCTATCACATTTGCAACACCAGCCTCAGGAATCACACATCATGAGAGGTATTCATTGAGGGGCAGCAGTGTCAAATTCATACCTTCATCTTCATATGCACCAGGTCTGGCATATTAATAATACAGATGATAGTTCTGGCATTTGGAGCACTCTTTCCAAATTTCCCACCTCCTCCACATACACTTTCTGCTAATTTTAAAGAGTTCCTACTTCCACATGGAGCATGTTGTCAGGAAAACAAAAGCATGTTTTGAAAAATAATTTTCTACTTGAGCTGGTTTAGGAGTTATAACAATTTTGTTGGAAAAACCCAGTAGTCAAAACAGAAATCATTAATTGGAAGGCATATCTTTAAGAAATTCTAGAAAAATACATACTACACCTTAAAATATCCCATGACTGCAATTATTAGGAAATACTGATGTTATTGTAGTACCTAGTCTGGCTTTTCACGAGACAAACTGCCATGATGCGGTTCTTGTTCCAAAGTTCCTGCAGTCTCAGAAAAGGCACCAGCAAATATTTATACAAATATGCAGGGGTACCAGCGGAATAAAATAACGGTAATGTTTGCTCTGGGAGTTGGTGCTTTCAGCACACTAAAATCTAGCTGCTATCCAAAGTATATTTTTTAAACAAAGAGAACCATTGTATTGAATGTTCATATTTTAAAGGCTTGGCCTTGAAAACAGGGTCAATGGGATAATATACTACATACAAGTCTAAGAAGGGTGATGTATGGAAGAAGTGGAAATGTGTCACTGAATGAACATTGCTGTGCTTCTGGTATTTTGAAATATGTGTTGATCATCAGCTGTTATGAAAAGCTAATAGAAGTGATCCTGAAGTGGATGAATGAAAGAGAAAAACATCACCAAAGAGCTGAAATGTTGTGGAAAAATGTTAATGGCACCTACAAGCTCTGTATAATACTCAAAACAAGGCAAGAGAAAAAGTGGCCTTATGTCTTAACAGTAAGTTCTGATACCTTCAAAGTTTATGAAGACTTCCTTCATCAAAATTGAATTAAAAAATAGCTTTGAGATTTTATTGCAAATGTTTTAGGCATAGTACACTCTTAATATATTGGGAAGTTCTATTTAATAGAGTGTGCAAGTGAAACTGTAAAGGGAATCTCATCTGTCAGTTACCCAAGGCTAGAGAGCTGTCTTGCAATTTCAGAAAGGACTAAATGCCTCTATTGATTGTTCACCTTCTGCAAAGCTTGACCATAAACCAGGTGCCATTGCTTGGCAAATTCTAGGATTTTTGTTTTTTTTTCTGGGTCACCCTATACAGTTTCTGCAGTGTCTATTGCTGTTTCTAGCTACAGTTTTTATTCAGCTAACAATGTCCAACATGTGGATGCAATTGAGAATAAATGCCACAAAAAGGGATATTTTGGGCAGGAAGGCATGCAAAGCTTAAAGTATAAAATGAGCTCGAAGAGCACATCTAGCTGCATATGTTATAATTAGAATAAGGCAGGCTGATGGCTGGCGTACGGGAAGAAAAGAAATACAAGAAATGCAATGAATTACATCACTTGTTAGGCAGACAAGCACCACCAGTGTGCACAGTGCCATTAGCATCTCTGTCCTTGCATGTATTAATTCAGATGAATAACTTGCAGGAGTAGCAGGCTGTCTGAGAATACAAAGATGATTGCAGTATATCTCACCCTACAAGGTGTCTGCTGCTTTTTCAATTGGATAATGGTGCTGCTGTTATCGCAAAACAATGGTATTAGCACCAAAAGAAAAGCCAGGCATCAAGAAAAAAATGAGCTAACTTAAGGTCTGTTTCTTATCTGTTCTCTCCCTTACCTAAAGCAGCTTATGAGATTAAAAACCACAGATTCAGAAAACCAAGAATCCACCGTAACACCCAGGGAAAATAGTGTTTGTTGTTGGTTAAGTGTCTGATAGCTTTAGCTTCAACAGGAACCAAGCAAGTGTAGAAGTGCTTATGGAGGCAACTGGAACCAGGGAGAAATGCACATTTTCGGTACAATACCAAGCCAAGCTGGACGGAGTTTAGTGGCTCCCTGTTCCCTAGGGTGAGGGGAGCTCACCCATTTGCCTCCCAAGTTCTCCTAGTTACTTTCTTCCCTCACTCTTTATGTGCCTGGGACCAGGCTTTACATGAGGAACAGTTCACTGTCACCAGCACAGCACATTAGGCCACTCTCGAATCTCATGGGAAGAGCATAGCAGTTGACAATGGTGTATTGGGCATGAACCACATTAACTGTCCAAGTGGACTACAAGCTATATGCATATAACCCTCTCAAAAAGCAATATCAAAAGGAGAGTTGTAGAAGTTCATTGCTGTGTGAACTAGAGTGGACAGTACAAGGAAAGTTGAAGTTTTTTGGATTTCTTTTTAGCCTCCTGGAAGGACAGAAGCAGCTTTG